TCCATGACAGTGCACGACGTGGTCGTGACTTCTTGAACGCTGGTGGAAACTTTTTACATCCCACTTTACGTATGATGTCTGGTGTGTAAGAGTATCGAAGCAACTTGTTTCTATGATTGATACGCCTGATACAAGGCATTTATAGGTTCATAGAATTCAGGTGTCAAAACGTCACATTGGTTAATACGTCAAAGAACTTCAAAGCACCAAACCTGTCCTTGTTCCACACATGTACAGTTGTTTACGAACAAACTGATGCAAACCGACTTAATTAGTCGGACAAACTCACTCAATCGGTGGGACTGTATTGTTAGAACACTACGCTACGCATGACCATTAAAGTCACCAAATGAAACCGAAAAGTGAATTTTAACCCTATTCAGGAAGGCCTATCAGGGTCCATTGGACCCCAAGAAAGAATATGTGCAAAACATTTGTTGGTATTCATTATAGACTTTTATTCTATGTTAAATACATTTTCTGATAAGTTGACATATTTTGGGTTCCAAATGCATGACAAATGTCTGTTTTTTAATGTTTTTATATAACAGCTGTCACCTAAACCAAGTGGCCTGGGGTCCAGAAGACCCCAAAAGTCCTGGACTTTTGGGGTCTAGTATGTGCCATAATGGACCCATAATGGAACCATAATGGAACCATAATGGCAGTAGACTACAGTAGGACTGAGGCCACTTAGCACTGATGTCATTTATTACAACAAAGGTGCATCACCAAGATGTCTGCACCCGAAATCCAAAATTTTTCAAAGAGGGCCAACAACTCTGTGCTCTGTTAGCTCTGTAAACTGGAAATGGCCTGCTGCAGGAGGACTCAAAGAGAAAGAAAAAAAGGAAACAGAGCATTTTGATGATAGTTTACCGACACAACCTTTGGTCTTCTCATTTGGTTCACTCATATAAAAACTTTGGGGTTAAAAGCTGTCAGTTAATTGTGTCCCTGATGATGTTAAAACTCTTGTGTTCATGGGACAATGATGTTCACTGCGGGGATTTACACTGACAGGGGAAACAATGATTGATACTGACACAAACGTACATTTTGAATTTTATTATTCATTATGAAAAGCTACAAAAATAAATACAGAAGCAACTAAGAAGTGAAGCTTTTAAAAACAGGATTTTATTGCTACACAGCCTGTAAACTTTGATGCAACATCAGTAAGACAATAAATCATACTACATATGCAAAACCATCCAAAGAATCTATGGAAAGCCTGAAAACTAAAATCTGAAAAACACGCGTTGCCAGACTCTCAGTCATCACTCACTTGCACCTTCACAACAGGGGTGGTGCAGTTGGACATTGTGGCCATGATGGTGACACTTTGACTTGTGTGTGTGAGACTGGGGCCTTTCGCTTTGCCTCTGACAAACGCTGTGTCAGTGTTTTTGGACATCTCATTAAAGAGGTCACGATCACACTCCTTGGTTTTGTCGAAGATTCCCACCGCGTACATGTTTGACTTCAGGTTGAGGTCGAACGGCACCTGAAAGAAGACAGCTATCTTCTTTGAGGTGGTTTTCGTGGAAATATCGAGGAGGTCGTAAGTGAAGATGCCGACGGATCCGTTAGCTGTGTTTCTGGTCTTGGCAAACAGCGCCTGCCCGGATGAGGACGGTCGAATCGCAGGCGGCAAAGGATCGGTGCAACGCCCGCTGTTGAGGAAGATCCTGGAAACAGAATGGTGGAAACATCTTGTTATAAGAATGTATTTTAAAATAAGAAAGAATATAATCAGAAGGAAGTGGCAGGTACCTGGGGTTGCAGAGCGTGTAGTTGGAACTTTCATTTGTGAGCTCAATGGTGCACTGGCGATGTGTCGGGACCATTTTGGCAAATGTGGAACCAATGGAAAGTCCACTGTCCGTTAGGTTACTAGCACGCTCTAGATGTTCCATAGTGGCAACTTGTTCAGACACTACAGACAGAAAAGATTCACTTTGGGTTAATAAAAAGCCATTACCACGCTCACTATCATAATGCTAGCATTTAGCAGATTTACCATGTTAGCTGATTAACACAACACGCCATTACATTTACAATCTAGCCTGAAGAAAAATACAGTTATTTGTATATATATGTGTCTCTCAAAGCTTGGTGATGTTATACTTTAAGGCCTAACTGTGGAAGCCGGTGAGCTAACTGCTAACTTTCAAGCTAGCCAGAGATGTATTATAATTTTTGTTTTTCTCAGGTTCTGCTTGTTCCCTACAATACATTTTTCACAGCTATGCATCGATTTTCTTTTCAATAAAAGAGCAAAGACAAGGTACAAGACAGTGAAGAAGAGGCTCAGTTAGGGCTCATAAACATAGCATACATGCTAACCATCTAATGCTAAGCTAAGCTAAGATGGGCATAACTTCAGGCTACTTTCTACTTACTAGAGTGACATTATTTTCTCTGTTTATGCTCATTTAATTACTTACTTATAGGTCCAGATTTCCAAAAAAGTTTCAAAGACAAAATATAGATATATCAAAAAAAAAAGAAAAGAAAAATGCCCGTGTTTAAAAACAGACTCGGGTTTAAATATTGTTTTCCATTCTTTAACAACCACCAAGCTCTAGCCTTAAAATCCCCCTAAAATGGTTAGTAGAAGCATTCAGGAATCATGGAAACACAAAATAAATAGTTACCAACTCTGAACAATTGACGTGATCAACAATGTGAAGTCAACATTATCTGATGCAAAATATGTTCACTTCACATACAAGCAGTGTGAGTAGCAGCTTTCCCCGGTTGCAGCAAGAACAGTTATAATATAAAGATGACAGTGAGAAATGATCTCAGCGTGTGGACCTACCTGTCTGTTCTTCTTTGGGTTGAACCTCTGGTGAACCGCTGGAAGCTCCGACTGCCAGGCTTGAAGGCTGCCTTTTTAATACAGGAGGTGGCAATCAGAAAGTGAGACAAAACCCGTTCCTCCAGGAATGTCTGTAAAAACTAGTATGAATGTCATTTTACAGTAAATACAGACACACCCACACATGCGCGTCTGATATAAAATAGGTTTTAGACCGAGTTTTACAACAGCTTCAGCTTCTTGCCAAGGAATGTGGCCTGACCAGAGAAATGTCATTCCTCCTGTTTGGAAGGTAAAGGAGTGAAGTTAGCAGCGATTAATTAACTTTGAAAGTCATCCTGTTAAAATTTGCATTTGTTTTCAAAACTATGACGAAGTTATTGAAGTAAACTGAACACACACAGACGCTCACCGACACAAGTGTTGTGACAAGTATTTGAAAAGACAGATTTTGTACGAGCATCAGTCACAACGTTAAGATCCACTGACAGATGAAGTGAATCATGATTATCTCGTTCAGTTAGGCAGCATGAAACAGACACTTCTTGGAAATCATGTGTTTGATGCAGGAAAAATAGGCAGCGTAAGGAACCTGCTGACTTTGACAAGAACTGAATTGTAAGAGCATCTCCTAAACAGCAGGAATTGTGTGGTGTTGTAAGTAGTACCTGCTCATACTAACCTCTGCTTGGGGCCACAGCAAAGGATCTGAACGCATTAGAAGAATTCTGTTTTTTCATTTCTAAGAAAGTTGCGAGAATTTCTAAAAACGCGTTTTCACAATGACATTATGGGTTCTGGAGTGTAGATTGTTGTTGTTGTACATTTACAAGCAGCCATACTGAGTGATGCCAATGATGGCGTTAACCAGATCTGATGAAAAACTCCAGAGATGTAGGAATCATCGGATTCAGCAGTGCTACAAAGTGCTGCAACATGTCAGCAATATTTGCACTATGGTAGTGGTACGTGATAATAATCTAAACTCTCTAATAAGAAAAGATAACAGAAGATAAGATGAGCCTTTATTAATCCCACAGGAAAAAGGTTACAGTAGCAAAGACAGTGCAAACATTTAGTGACATGCCCTCTGCCTTTGTCTCCCCCTAGTGGAGTTCTTTTAGGATTGCTTCATCTTTTCCTGTGCAACAAGCCAGAGGGACAAGTGAGCAGGTGTTGTGGATTGCAATCAGCCCATTGCTCCGGCTGCTGCGAGGCGTGGCTTGCCATTCACCCCTCAGATCTGCATGGAGTATTTAAGACACCAGCAAGCCACAAGCCGACGCCGTTAGTCTCGTTCTCGTTCGTATGCTTAGTTTGGTAATCCTGATTCCTGTTCTCACTCTATTCTCCTGTGGTTCAGTTTCGCTACGTTCTCTACCAACCCGTGATCCATTCCCCCATTCCTGATTCCTCTCTGTTGGATTCCTCTGGCTCCAGTCCTCCATATCCTCTGTACCCCTCTGCTGAAGTCATCTGGTCCACCTCCGTCTCCCCCGGCTCCCCCTCTCTAGTTCCCTGTATTGTACTAAGCCTTATCTATCGCCTACTCAACCAGTAGTTGTTGTTTATAGGTTTGTACTCACTGCGGTAAGTTTTTGATTCTTTAATTCGTAAGTATAGTTCGTCGTCCTCTAGAGGACGTTTCATGAAATTTCTAGTAGTTCGTATTTGTTAGCAGTAGTTTATATCGGCGGTCCATTTGGGAACCTCAGTTTGTCATTTTTGCATTTGAGTCATTGTTTGGAAAAAAAAAAACAAGTGTGTTTCATTGTATTCAAGGTCTTGCTGGTCGAGTCTTTTGTCTGTGCCTGAGCCTTTTGTTTGTCAAACCGTGACACTACTACATATCCTACAAAAATAAACCAAGACATACATGAGTACCAACTGCAGCATTGCACATGCCAGTGATATTGCACAGATTCTTTCATGAATGGAAATACTGACAAAAATATTGCACAGATTGTTTATGTAAGTAGAAAAATACCTATGTAGCATGTAGCCATATAGTTAGTTGAACCAGTAGGCTTATCATCATGTGAAGAATATGTGTAGTATAGTATATAATTGTGGCCGACTTTGTATCACATTCTGCGCAGACTTTGTGCTCAAGCGTCACTCAACAAATTTGTGACAAATGTGATAAATGAATGGCAAATTTCCACAAGTAAGCTGACTTTTCATGTTCATTATGTTTCCAGAATAGGTGATGCTCAATGCAATGCATGTGCCATCATATGTTTTTAGCATGTTGTGCCTCCACATTCTTATGTCATATTGCTGTTTCTGTAAAACAAAAGCAAATGAGGGATCATATTGAGCCAAACAGATACTGATTCTTCATGTTCAAGGTTACATTTGACAGAATTTTGTACAAATTCAAAAAGAGACAGAGCAGAATATTGTCAAAAATCAAGTTGCCATTAAACATTTTAGCACTGCTGAATTCCATCTTTCTAGTTGTCTTTCACTTGCACTTTAATGACCGGTGTGTAAGTATCTGACATTGTAGCCAGGATGGTAACTTGATCTTTCTTGAATTTGAGACTGGGACCACTGGCTTTTTCCCTGACAAACAGGCACTTTTTGGAGGCGTTGTACATCTGATAATAAAGGTCATAATTGCACTCTGTGCTATTGTTGAAGATTCCCACAGCGTACCAGTTTGAGTACAGGTTGAAGTCGTAGGGAATGGAGAACATGACAGCCATCTTCCCAGTGGTCCGTTTTTTTTGTTCATTGCAGAGGTTGTAAGTGAAGACTCCAACGGCTCCTCGAGCACAGTGGGGGGTCTTGGTGAACAGTGCAGTCCCAGATGAAGATGGACCAAGATGAGCTACCAAAGGCTCAGCATAGTGACCACTGACGACATGAACACTAGAAGGAGTCGAGAAAACATGACGTGAACACGAGAAAGGGTAGAAAACATTTGAGTAAATGCAATGCATTCATGCAGGATTAATTCCAGTCAAAAGAAGAAACAAACAAGTCACCTGGGTTCAGACAGGCTGTAGTGAGAGGATTCATTTTTAATCTCAATGGTGCACTGACGATGTGTTGGAAGGACTCCAGCAACAGCGCCACCAACTGCTACTGCTGCTGATACGAAAGCGCACATAATGGGAGCTCGACTGGACGACCTGTTCAGACAGACAGAACACAAAGCAAACACTTTTGACGGAAACATCAAGCAGTTGGCAAACTATCATTCAAGCTCCACAGATAAAACTGTCTTCTCCATGACTAATCTAGTCTTGTCATAGTAAGCATTAATAAGAAATTAATATGGAAAACATTTGAATCCTATTAAACTGACCCCCATGACTCCCTCTGCGGGTGGTGAGTCCACAGGAGTCCATCACCCGGGCTGAAGTCACCAAGGTGGTTAGAAAGCTCCTCGGTGGCAAAGCTCCAGGGGTGGATGAGATCCGTCCTGAGTACGTTAAGTCTCTGGATGTTGTGGGACTGTCCTGGTTGACACGTCTCTGCAACATCACATGGTGGTCGGGGACAGTGCTTCTGGATTGGCAGACCGGGGTGGTGGTCCCTCTGTTTAAGAAGGGGGACCGGAGGGTGTGTTTCAACTACAGAGGGATCACACTCCTCAGCCTCCCCGGTAAGGTCTATTCCAGGGTACCGGAGAGGAGGATCCAACCGATTGTTAAACCTCGGATTCAGGAGGAGCAGTCTGGTTTTCGTCCTGGTCGCAGCACACTGGACCAGGTCTATACCCTCCATCAGGTGCTTGAGGGCTCTTGGGAGTTCGCCCAACTAGTCCACATGTGTTTTGTGGATCTGGAGAAGGCGTTCGACCGTGTCCCTCATGGCGTCCTGTGGGGGGTGCTTCGGGAGTATGGGGTCTGGGGCTGTCTGTTAAGGGCTGTCCGTTCCCTGTATGACCACAGCAGGAGCATGGTTCACATTGCCGGTAGTAAGTCAGACCTGTTCCCAGTGCACGTTGGCCTCCGCCAGGGCTGCCCTTTGTCACCGGTTCTGTTCATTATTTTTATGGACAGAATTTCTCGGCGCAGCCAGGGGGAGGAAGGGGTTCGGTTTGGGAACCACAGAATCTCATCTCTGCTGTTTGCAGATGATGTTGTTCTGTTGGCTTCATCAAATCAGGNTGGACAGAATTTCTCGGCGCAGCCAGGGGGAGGAAGGGGTTCGGTTTGGGAACCACAGAATCTCATCTCTGCTGTTTGCAGATGATGTTGTTCTGTTGGCTTCATCAAATCAGGGCCTTCAGTGTGCACTGGGGCGGTTTGCAGCCGAGTGTGAGGCGAACGGGATGAGGATCAGCACCCCCAAATCCGAGGCCCTGGTTCTCGACCGGAAAAAGGTGGCTTGCCCTCTCCAGGTTGGTGGAGAGTCCTTGCCTCAAGTGGAGGAGTTCAAGTATCTCAGGATTTTGTTCATGAGTGAGGGGTGGATGGAGCATGAGATTGACAGACGGATCGGTGCAGCGTCTGCAGTGTTGCGGTCGCTGTACTGGACCATCATGGTGAAGAGAGAGCTGAGCAGGGGGACAAAGCTCTTGATTTACCAATCAATCTACGTTCCTACTTTCACCTATGGTCATGAGATCTGGGTAATGACCGACAGAACAAGATCGCGGATACAAGAGGCCGAAATGAGTTTCCTCATTGGGTGGGCGCTCCCTTAGAGATAGGGTGAGGAGCTCAGTCACTCGGGAGGAGCTCGGAGTAGAGCCACTTACTTATGGGTCCAGCTTTCCCAAGAAGTTTCAAAGAGAAAAACTATGTAAAATATATATATATTTTTAAAAATTGGTTGTTAGATGACTAGTGAATTAAATCATTTCTGTTGTATTGCTCAGTACTGATGTAACAGAGCAAAATGTGAAATCTGTTGAAAAACAAACCGTCATTATTTGAAAAGAAAAACCCCCCAAAAAACAACAACAACAACAAAAAAGCCCATGTTTGAAAACAGCCTTGGGTTTACATGTCGTTTTCCCTTCTTTAATAACCACCAAGTTCTAGCCTTAAAATCCCCCTAAAATGGTTAGTAGAAGCATTCAGGAATCATGGAACCACAAAATAAATAGCTATCAACTCTGAACAATTGACATGATCAACAATGTGAAGTCAACATTATCTGATGCAAAATATGTTCACTTCACATTCAAGCAGTGTGAGTAGCAGCTTTCCCCGGTTGCAGCAAGAACAGTTATCAAACAAAGATGACAGTGAGAAGTGATCTCACCGTGTGGACCTACCTGTCTGTTTGGGTTGAACCTCTGGTGCTCCGACTGCCAGGCTTGAAGGTTTCCTTTTTAATACAGGAGGTGGCGATCAGAAAGTCAGACAAAACCCGTTCCTCCAGGAATGGCTGTAAAAACTAGTATGAATGTCATTTTACGGTAAATACAGACACACCCACACATGCGCATCTGACATATCATAGGTTTTAGACAGAGTTTTACAACAGCTTCAGCTTCTTGCCAAGGAATGTGGCCTGACCAGAGAAATGCCATTCCTCCTGTTTAGAGGACAAAGGAGTGAAGTTAGCAGCGATTAATTAACTTTGAAAGTCATCCTGTTAAAATTTGTTTTCAGCTGCACATCAGTTTTGGAAAAACATAGCAGGACTGGTAAAACTATGATGAAGTTATTGAAGTACTTCTTGGAAATGATGTGTTTGATGCAGGAAAAATAGGCAGCGTAAAGAACCTGCTGACTTTGACAAGAACTGAATTGTAAGAGCATCTCCTAAACAGCAGGTATTGTGTGGTGTTGTAAGTAGTACCTGCTTTTAAACCTGTTTTTTCATTTCTAAGATAGTTGTGGGAATTTCTAAAAACACATTGTCACAATGACATCATGCGTTCTGGAGTATAGATTGTTGTTGTTGTACCTTTACAAGCAGCCGTACTACGCGATGCTGTTGAGAAGATTCTTCAGCGGAGTCCTAACTGCTCCAAATCAGCACACAGAGTCGTCTCTTGAGTCAAAGCAGTGTTTTACTCGCAGCAAGGAATCACATGCGCAGTACAGAGTGTGGACAAGTGACATCAGATTAAAGACAGGTAGCATTTATACAGGCATGCAAAAGATTTCACCTCTGCTCACATCTGCTGACGCCCTTTCATGCACTCAGGCACACGGCTTGTTTACTTTTTGCAAGTTCTGTGCACGCTATCTTAGGTGTAACGTTGACCTTCAAACATGAATGCAAACCAAAACTTGTGAGTGTTTGTCTCGTGCATTTCTCAAGTCATCAACGCTAAAGATGGTATTTTTTTGGTTTTAGTTCATTTAGCAGCACACGTGGATCGGCCACATTTGGTGCTCTGCTTGCAAATCTTGAACCACCCTCCAACCAGAGGAGGAAGCTGCCTTTTTAACAGGAATCAATGGTGTGTTGCATGGCGAATCATCACATGGGACGAAAACAGCTTCCATAGTTTTCAGCATATTGCAGCACATCAGCCAGTGAGCCTGTACGACGTGTTACCATATGTTTACGCACATAGTCAGCTGATTGGGGTTTGAGGCCCGACATGAATGCTTTTTTTTAGCTGCTGCTCATAGATAGGGGTCCGTCGGGTCTGCAGTCGCCAGTAGCTTCAGTCCACAATGTGCATCAAACACCTGTTGGAGTCTCACTCTGTATTGCTGAACTGACTCTCCTGCATCTTGGGTGGTTTCACTGATTTTGGTCCAGTCTGGGCGGGACTGGAATGTGTTTCTGCACGCTGTCAGGACCAGATCTATCGCTCCCTGTAAGGCAATGGAACCTGGCTGCATGGCAAGTCCTGCAGGCCAGTATAAGTTCCTCAGACTGTGTACCAAACATGTCCGAGGAGGAGCATAAAAAGTCTTTGGACTTCAGCTCCATTCAAATGACGACTCTGCACCAGTCCTCTGCCACATTAACTTTGTGATTGGTTATGCCTTCAGCGGCTTTTTTTCACATCATCTAATGTCCATGGGTGGAATACGTGTATGGTTCATGCCTGGGGTTGTTCTGCTGGATTGGATTTGGATTTTCTATCATTGGNTAAGATCCACTGACAGATGAAGTGAATCATGATTATCTCGTTCAGTTAGGCAGCATGAAACAGACACTTCTTGGAAATCATGTGTTTGATGCAGGGAAAATAGGCAGCGTAAGGAACCTGCTGACTTTGACAAGAACTGAATTGTAAGAGCATCTCCTAAACAGCAGGTATTGTGTGGTGTTGTAAGTAGTACCTGCTTTTAAACCTGTTTTTTCATTTCTAAGATAGTTGTGAGAATTTCTAAAAACACATTGTCACAATGACATCATGTGTTCTGGAGTGTAGATTGTTGTTGTTGTACCTTTACAAGCAGCCGTACTACGCGATGCTGTTGAGAAGATTCTTCAGCGGAGTCCTAACTGCTCCGAATCAGCACACAGAGTCGTCTCTTGAGTCAAAGCAGTGTTTTACTCGCAGCAAGGAATCACATGCGCAGTACAGAGTGTGGACAAGTGACATCAGATTAAAGACAGGGAGCATTTATACAGGCATGCAAAAGATTTCACCTCTGCTCACATCTGCTGACGCCCTTCATGCACTCAGGCACGCGGCTTGTTTACTTTTTGCAAGTTCTGTGCACGCTATCTTAGGTGTAACGTTGACCTTCAAACATGAATGCAAACCAAAACTTGTGAGTGTTTGTCTCGTGCATTTCTCAAGTCATCAACGCTAAAGATGGTATTTTTTTGGTTTTAGTTCATTTAGCAGCACACGTGGATCGGCCACATTTGGTGCTCTGCTTGCAAATCTTGAACCACCCTCCAACCAGAGGAGGAAGCTGCCTTTTTAACAGGAATCAATGGTGTGTTGCATGGCGAATCATCACATGGGACGAAAACAGCTTCCATAGTTTTCAGCATATTGCAGCACATCAGCCAGTGAGCCTGTACGACGTGTTACCATATGTTTACGCACATAGTCAGCTGATTGGGGTTTGAGGCCCGACATGAATGCTTTTTTTTAGCTGCTGCTCATAGATAGGGGTCCGTCGGGTCTGCAGTCGCCAGTAGCTTCAGTCCACAATGTGCATCAAACACCTGTTGGAGTCTCACTCTGTATTGCTGAACTGACTCTCCTGCATCTTGGGTGGTTTCACTGATTTTGGTCCAGTCTGGGCGGGACTGGAATGTGTTTCTGCACGCTGTCAGGACCAGATCTATCGCTCCCTGTAAGGCAATGGAACCTGGCTGCATGGCAAGTCCTGCAGGCCAGTATAAGTTCCTCAGACTGTGTACCAAACATGTCCGAGGAGGAGCATAAAAAGTCTTTGGACTTCAGCTCCATTCAAATGATGACTCTGCACCAGTCCTCTGCCACATTAACTTTGTGATTGGTTATGCCTTCAGCGGCTTTTTTTCACATCATCTAATGTCCATGGGTGGAATACGTGTATGGTTCATGCCTGGGGTTGTTCTGCTGGATTGGATTTGGATTTTCTATCATTGGGTATTGCAGCATTTCAGGTTGTTGTGGTTGATCTTGAGTCCAAAACGTGTCTTCTGCTGTACTCAATGGGTTTGTAATGTTGCCTGACCTCAATCTGAATGGACTTGTGTAGATGAACTACTTGTCTGACCTGATAAGTCGGGATACATTTGGTGGACAGGCGGAGCAGTGTGGTGACACGGTGTCTGCACATTGTTTACTCCCCCCACGGCTTCCTGCTGTCGTTGGTTTTGTGCTGCTGGCTGATCTTCCTGCTCTTGCGCTGCAGCTGGGCGTTCCTTCGCCTGGCTGACAGCATTCACAGCTTCCTCGTCCTCTAATAACATTTGGCCTCTCTGTTTTTGTCTCGCTTTTTTTGCTGCGTCTTCTCTTTTTTCTCTACCTACTTTGCTTGTTGTAGCCATTTATTCGCTTCCTGTCAGCCTTCTCTTTTCTTTTTATCTTCTCTTCCTCCACATTCTTTTTCTATTTTACATACTCTTTTTTTTTTTTGCAGTTTTCTTCATCTAGCTTCAAAATCGTTTTTCTTTTGCCATTTTTTCAAAGTGTTTTATTCATTTTAGATCGATCTGTTGCATGCATTTGGCATCTCCTGTGAGTTTACTCCCAGAATATCCCATTTTTATTGTTGTTTTTTCTTATTTTATTGTTTTATTGTTTTATTTGTCTCAATCCCCAACACTTCTTCAAACAGCACTGTTATGAAAGATTTATAGAGCCCTGTCCAACTCTGGTAGTTATTATTACTATTCCCTTAAGGCAGGGGTCGGCAACCCGCATGTGGCTCTTTCATACCTCTGCTGTGGCTCCTTGTGGCTTTGGAATAATAAATAATGAGTATTTTAATTTAAATGTATTTTATTTCAGTTCGTTAGTTTTTAGAATGTAATTCTAAATTTGAAGATTTTTGTGAACTCCCATCCATCCATCCATCCATCCATCCATCCATCCATCCATCCATCTTCTTCTGCTTTATCCGGAGTCGGGTTGCGGAGGCAGCAGAACTTGTAACATTAAAATAAAACGTGAATTTTTTTGCCGCACAAATATGCGTCACAACCACCGATGTGCGACACCTGCTGGCATGCGCATTGTTGCCAACTTGGTGACTTTCTCGCTAAATGTGGCGACTTTCCAAATCCTCTTGGTGACTTTTTTGTTTTGTCAGAAGCGACTAGTGACAAATCTAGTGACTATTTCTGGTGTTTTAGAGACTCTGACTTAAAAACATGTATTGTTCTGCAGTTACTGTCCTCGGCGAGCAGCAGTGCTGTCGTGAGCTCCTCCCGTCCCAAAGCGCTCACAGGCGGTCAGGAGTCTGGTCAGCAGGCCCAGCTGCAGTCAGCAGGACAACCAGATGGCATTTTTACTTTGCTGCAGGTGGATAATTTAAGTTTGTCTTTTTATTTCATATATACAAAGAGGATTCAAATAGACATCGAGTATTTTATTTGAAAGTAACCTTCAACCCAGCATCTTTTTTTTTGGAGTTGAAAATGTTTTTGTTGCATGCAGGAATAAAAATTTGTTCATTGATTTCATAAATGCAACACACTAGAGTTTTGTTTTTTTGTTTTTGTTTTTAATACATGGCATAAAGGTAAAAACGATATCTACAGTGTTATCTTCATTTTAGATGTCAAAAGGGTTTTGTGGCTCCCAGTGTTTTCTTTTCCGTGGGAAACGTGTCCAAATGGGTCTTTGAGTGTTTAAGGTTGCTGAGCCCTGCCCTAAGGAATCTAAGGAACCCGGTTCCCCTTGCCAGTTGCCAGCCAGTTTGTATGGAATTCACCCGAGCAACTGGTCCGATCAGTGAAACCTTTGCTTCGTTGCCACCGTTAGGTATCCACAAACCAACAGGCTGTTGCCACCATTAGGTTAGCCCTGCTAGTTGGTTTCACTGAGACACTACTGAATAACTACTTCCCAAACTTTGAGTGCATCTTGGAAAGAGACAAATAAAACTAGGCCAACTGTTTTCTTTGTTCTTGAATCCCGTCACCCTCCTCCAGACAGTGGTGGCTGGCCTCTCTGAACATCGAATTCTAGACGGAGGTCTTTGCTTCAGGAGTCCCGGATTCCCCTGTGCCTGTCCAGAGGAGAGATATTGGTATCCAGCTCAAATGACCAAAAATGATAGGAAAATTCTTCACTGGAGTCCTAACTGCTCCAAATCAACACACAGAGTAAATAAAGTATATATGGTTAGTTGAATCAGTAGGTGTCGTTGGTGAACACTGTGTTAAGTGAAGTTTTTATGCAATTGTTTCTTCATAAAGTCTTATTTTACCATCGCTAATCTAGAACAGATTGAGGCAGTTGTTGTGAACTGCAACGGTGATCTTTTGACCTCCATTGACCTGACTTCAGTTGCTGTGTTTCTGTGGTTCATTCCTGTGTGTTCCTTTTTTGTGCTTCCTGTTTCTCTGTTTCTATGTGTAGCTTTCATGTTCCTTTTCAGTTATTTCCTTTTTTCGTTTTGACATTGCCTTTCCTTTTATGTCGCTTGTGATTTTACTTTTGCCCTTCGTTCCTCTTTTCCTCCCCCTGTTGATTGCCCTGATTAGTTTCAGCTGCGGTCTGTCTCATCAATCAGTCCTGAGTGTATAGATAGTCTTGTCTCTTCGTCTGTCGTTGTCAGTTCGTCGTCCTGTTCTCCTGCCTCTGGTTTCACCTGCCTCCACACCTTCAGCTTCATCCACGTATCCATGCTACGGTGATATTCTCCTCCCATCCCCATTTGCTTACACTCACCGTGCACTTTATTTGGAACACCTGAGCACTGTAAGAAATCTATCCCAAAAAAAAAAAAAAACAGACTGAATTTGAACAGACACAGCTGTCCTCCTGCAACACTTCCCTCTCTATACTAAACCTACTCCACCAGACGAGCACATTCTCCAACTGAAAGTCAATATTTTGTTGCTTTGGTACTATTTTACCATCTCAATCGATCATTGAAAAGCCTCGTGATTGGCTGAAATCTCCTGTCACAAGTTGAATTTTCTTAGCCCTGATATAGAGCCAGGGAAAGAGTCAGAAGTCTTGTTTGGGTTGATCTAGAAATATTGCCTGAGGATGCCAAAAACATCACCCTACCCCTGATTTAACCTAAAAGACATATTGATATCTTATTATTTCATTGCATGGCTTAGCAATTCTTCAGCAATTGTTTCAGACAAGGTGTTATTGTATTCTTATTATGGTGAAAATGCTAAGTTTTTGCTTCATCCTCTAAATTCAGGAACAACTTGACAGCTACTATGTGACTTGGGCTGCAAGGTGGCTCGGTGGTTAGCACCGTTGCTTCGCAGCAAGAAGGTCGTCAGTTTGCGTCCTGGTGAGGACACCCGGGATCGTTCTGCGAGGAGTTTGCATGCTCTCCCCGCGCAGCGTGGGTTCTTTCTGGGTTCTCCGGCTCCCTCCCACAGTCCAAAAACATGTTGAGGTTAACTGGTGATTCTGAATTTTGTGTAGGTGTGAATATGAATGTGCTTGGTTGTCTGTCCCTAAGCGTAGCCCTGTGATAGACTGGGTGTCCCCTGCCTTCACCCGAAGTCGGCTTGGATAGAGTCCAGCCCCCCACGACCCTAGTGAGGATTAAGTGGTGTATAGATGCTGGATGGATGGAGTTATGTGACTTGAACAGGAATAGATAAAACAAATGAAATATCCCAATATGCTGATGATGTACTGCTGTATGTCTATATGTATATATGCACATGTAATCGTGTCTTTCACTTCTATTGCAAAAAATGAAGGTTAGAATGGAGAAACCTAGAAGGATGTGAGGTTAAATTGCTTATCATCATGTGCAAAATATGTGTAATATAGAATACAAGTGCGGCCTGCTTTGTATCATGTTCTACGCAGACTTTGTGCTCAAGCGTCACTCAACAAATTTGTGACAAATGTGATAAATGAATGACAAAACCTTCACAAGTAAACTGACTTTTCATGTTTATTATGTTTCCAGAGTAGATCATGCTCAATGCAATGCATGTGCCATCATACGTTTTTAGCATGTTGTGCCTCCACATTCTTATGTCATATTACTGTCGCTATAAAACAAAAGCAAATGAGGGATCATATTGAGCCAAACAGATACTGATTCTTCATGTTCAAGGTTACATTTGACAGAATTGTGTACAAATTCAAAAAGAGACAGAGCAGAATATTGTCAAAAAGGCCAGTTGCCTTCAAACATTTTAGCACATCTGAATTCCATCATTCCAGTTGTCTTTCACTTGCACTTTAATCATTGATGTGCTAGCATCTGACATTGTAGCCATGATGGAAACCTGATCTTTCTGGTATTTGAGACTGGGACCGCTGGCTTTCCCCCTGACAAACGGACCATCTGTGCTGCCGTTGTACATCTGATCATAAAGGTTACGATTACACTCTGTGCTATTGTCAAAGATTCCCACAGCGTACCAGTTTGAGTACAGGCTGTAGTCATAGGGAACGGAGAACATGACAGCCATCTTCCCAGTGGTCTGTTTTGTTTGTTCATTGCAGAGGTTGTAAGTGAAGACTCCGACGGCTCCTCGAGCAGAGTGGGGGGTCTTGATGAACAGTGCAGTCCCAGTCGAAGATGGATCGAGATG